TATATATATATATATATATGAGCATTCTTTATATAAAAAAGAAAAACTCTTTTGAAGTTATTATGTTTATATAATTGATAAGACTTTCCCCATCTTACACTTTTGAATAAACTGTGGAAAATTAAGTTCACACAGAGTATCCACAGAGATGCCTGATTGACTGAAAACTGGATAGCTATCACAAGGCTATTTGTTTATGTATATCAATTAAACATGTTTATTACTCCTATTTCACCTAACTAATTTCCTTTATCAAATAATTGCTAAAAGTCATACTGCTGTATTGTGTGATATTTAATCACACTGTGAACCCTGAGGATGTAATAATATAGTCAGAGGGCATCTGACTGGGAGCAGAAGCATGCTCTCTTTTGGAGATTCCAGAGAGAAGGTCAGGTAGTTGCTTCTCAACTTCTCTGAGCTAGCAGGTTTTCACCACAGCCTTTGATTCTTGAGTCTTATTAATATAGAGAACAATAGAGATTTAACTAAAAGCTATATTTGGCAACAGCAACAGAGCCAGTGCATGTGGGAACAGAATTCCTGCCAGGCCATAGCCTGAGCAGTCTAGCCACTGCCAGAAAAGCATGCCAGTAATGTCAGGGCGACATTTATTTGCCAAAACAGGAATAGATTAAAGGGCAACCTCTGTGGCGATAGAAAAACAACACTGCTGTAACTTGTTATTATGTACTGCAGCATATTTATGGCTTTTTAAAAAAATATGTTGGATTTAAAAAAAACTATCACTCTAAGGACATAAGCAACAGCATAGATAAGAGTTTTATTGGTGGTAAAATTTGAGTCATATTGTGAGGGCGTGAATTGGGGTCAACATGAAAGGACATCAAGTTTAGTAGCAAAGTTCAGATTAGAAGGCCAGGCCCACTGTTGTGGACAAGGTATACAATTTTTTGCACCAAGTTCTTTTCTTCTGAGAAACCTGATTATTATAACACCTGTATATCAGAGATTTTCCAATAATGATTGAAACAATATATGAACTGAGTAGGAAACTGAACTGAAAACAGTTCTTAATAACTATTGTCTAGGTAAATTCAAAATTACAGAAAACACCATTACTGTGCACACTAATATTCTCCTTAAAAGTGAATCTGATCTATAAGAATTAGAAGTATCTAGTAGCAGAAATGTTATTTTTCTATTTCAGGCTTTTACATTTTTCTTTTTGTCTGATATTCCAGCTTAAAAACTTAAAGCATGCATTTATTTTCTTCATGAGCATCTCATGCATTTACACTTGCCTGAGTTAAGTATTCCAACCCAGGTGGACAGTTCAGCGGAAGAGGTGGTGTAGGCATCCATGGGGTCCCTCCAGGCCCACTTGGATGATTGTATGCTGGCTGATTTTGGACAGGAAAGCCACCTGGGCCAGCACCTGCATAACCTCCAGGTGGGACTGGGTAGCCAGCTTGGGGTCCTGGATAGGGACCCTGGGGTCCTTGGTAGCCAACCCCAGGGCCTGGATAAGGACCCTGTGGTCCTTGGTAGTCAGGCTGGGGTATGGGGTAGCCATTATGTTCCGGAGGTCCTGAAATACAAAGCAACTAAAATAAATCATCACTGTAGAAGAAAAATCAGTTCATTAGAAGTATCCCAATTATCTACAACCTGATAGATACAGGATTTATATGATTCTGTAACTGTTACCTGCTAGAAAAATATGTTCTAATAATTGGAAATGGGAAAAAAAAAACAAGCTCTGCCCTAAAGCCATGACATGTAACCCTTCTGGCATCCTATAACAGAAGACCCAAAAATTTGCATTGATGTAAAGGAATCTGAGAGCAAGATGGTCACATGATGTAACTATGCTGACATCTTACCATAAGAAAGGAAAGGCTCTCTATGTGAAGGGCGGATGAGACATGTTTCAGGTGAAATGCAAGATAATGTCAAAACCCTCACCATGAGAAAAGAGGGAGAAATGCATACCCACTTGAAGTTAATTCTGAGTGGACTGAATTCTTCTCTAACTCTCTGGCTTACATCTTAAACTTGCTGGAAATTCTCCCAATGCCAGTTCTTTGGGAACTTAGCAGAGGTGTTCAAGCCTGGTCTCACAGTAGAAGAACCAGGTAATTCAGAAATTACCAGTCCCTGAGTTCACAATTTAAGTTACTGGTAAGTGAAGCCATGGTTGACAGCTACTGCCTCACAACCTTAAAAATTAGCCAGACCATATTCTTTAGTTATAAACATCTGGTAAAGATCTAGGATCCACAGAGCAGTATCTATGACAATCTGTTTGCTCAGCAAAGAGAGGAGACTGTGTCAACCTTGATAATCCCCAGGTTGTTCTTTTGAAGATGTGGCTAGCTGGCTACTGGAAAACCTGGGTAAACCATTACCTGGGCATTAGCAGAGGTCAGATAATGCTCACAGTTACATTTGCTAAACGAAAATCTTTCCATTCTTTATGCATTGGTTCAAAATAAGACTTAAAATTTGTATCCCTGGTATATAATGATATGATTCATCTATTTTTGTGAGACATGAAAAGCAATAATCATCGTAATTACAACACGAAGTGTTTTTCTTTTCTCTTTTAGTGGTGGGAATTGAATTATGTTCTCACACATACAAGGTAAACATTCCACAAATCTGAGATTTTTACCTTGCATCAGGCTTTTGCTAAATGTGTGAACCTACCACCTACCTGCCTCAACTTACTATGCTTCTAGTATTATGTACCTGCATCTCTTAGCTTGGCGAAGAATAAAGGTGTCCATCATACACACCACAAAGCGGAAACAAGAACCCAAGGTAGCTTCCAGGGTTAAGTAGTCTTTTCATTTATCCACTACTTTAACGGACACAATTAAGCAATCGTCCTGCATGGCTCAAAAACACCCATGGAAAACTTTCCTAAGTCTCATGACATGACCACAGTCTTCACAACAGATGAACAGTCAATAAAAATTAATTGTTCCTTTTTAAGTGAAGCATTGTTGCTCAATACAAAAATACTCCAGATTTTACAGCTCTCCTTTATATTTAACCCTTACTGCCCTCTGCTAAAAAAAAAAAAAAAAAAAAAAAAAAAAAAAAAAAAAAAAAAATTCCTATGGAAAACACATGGGGCAAAAGAAAAAAAAAATGCCAAAATTTCTTTAATCAATTTCATGAAAAAGAATCACAAAAAACCCACATATGTGCCCCACCCCCTTTGTATCTCTCCCTTCCAAATTTAAAATGATGAGTGTTATTTTCCCTTCTGCAACAAGTTGTTACCTTGGAATGCTGCTGGAGGATACTGAGGGCCATACCCAGCTGGAAAATGTGTCCCTGAGTGAGGAGCCTCTGTTTGCATGCCTGCAATTCAGGGAGAGGTACATGCATGTCAGCTTACATGAGATGGCTTCGGGAAGACTGCACAGCACTGAGACAGAGTGTGACTAAACCAGGAAAGAAAACTCAGCACGTGAGTTCTTTGTGTGGAAGAGTTAATGTGAAGGAGACTTTTGTTCCAATCACACCGTGAAAACTGATTCATACAGTTGAACAAATGGCCTGTGTTTTATGGTTTTGAAATTCACTCTGAGTAGCTTAGAAAAATCAGAGACCTATGAGATAGCTATAACTTGAGAATATTTAATTTTACTTTTATGCATACAATTGATGTGTATATATATATTATGTAAACTTATTCATATACATACACATTCCATTTTTCTTCAGTCACTAACATACCTACATGCACACAACTATATGAGTATCATGAGTTAAAAAATCATTGTCAAGTGAATTTCTCTAAGTTGAACGAATTGCTAGCATGTACAATAGCTCAAATCTACACAAAGGTATATTTCAAAGGCTTTAACTTTGTTTTATGAAAACTTAGACCAATACAAAGCCATCAAGAAAACTAAGTGGTCTGGACTGAAAGTTGTCGAATATACTCGTCAAAGCTAGATTATGGTGACATATGTATCGTTTTGACCATTTCAACAAAGATGAAAGAGAAAGGAAAAACATTTCTGAGAAAATGACTTGACTAGTAATATTTTCCAAGATATGTAATGCTTTTCTTCTCAAAACTTAAATTTTGATAAGGCAAAATCTTATATTGTAGACTTTATATGTTTTATTTAGAACTTTCCTGAGAGGGAAGAAAGAGGAAGAACAATGTGATGAATATTACTAAATCCTATGTATATTATAAAACACACATCATGAAAGCATGCATCTGAACACTCTTCAGGTATCAAAAATCTTATTCTTTGATTAGTATGACCAGAATAGCCATTATGTATATAAATTGTGTCCAAAAGTCCAGAAAAGTTCTTTGGATAAGATACAGTACACTCTACAAAATATATCTGTCTGTACACCTAACATAATCCTTTCCCTGTGGCTTTCTTGTTACTAAATGGGACCATTGACATTTGTGTCTACCTTCTCCATGCTAGAATACTAAATAAGACAGCAAGGATAATAGCATAACAGTGAATCAGAAGAGCAATTTCAAAAGCTGAACGAAACAATCAAGTAATGTCTTATCAGACTATATTATAAAGAAGAAAAATAGATAATCGACATGAATTACTTACTGTGCTTTTCCATGATTTCAACTGTCCTGGAAACAGAATATCTGACATTAGTCCATTATCTACAAATTCATAGGAGAGATGTTCTGCTCCAAGGTGCTCAAGAGCTCAAGGCACAGGTTTGGTTTTAGTCCTCCTCACCCAGTTTAGCCTGATCTACTTACTCAAACTTTTGGGTTTGATTCTCATTCCCATACTCTCATTCTTAGTAGAATTTTGGCTGGACCTGAAAGATTCCCCAACTGGCAGCAGAGCTAAATGGACAGCCTTCCCAACCTGCACTTCTACAACATGTGGTTCATATATGAATCTCTGAACTCAGCTATAGGAATGGCCCAACAAGGTCAGAAGTAAATTTCCAGGGCAAAGGACTGGAGTCTGGAATCCAGGATCTATGGATTGTCCTGACCTTCTTGAGCCCCAAATAGGAGAAGGCTTGATATTCTTCTTCTGTGGATTAAAACTTCTTACTAGGGGACCTTGGTTAAGGTTCTAATGGTGACAGCATTCTTGACAATCCTAGTGACTGCATTAGACTACTTCTGCAGAAGCATGCATTACAACAAAATTTCTACTTAGTCCTGTTCCCAGTAACTGGATCCCATCTTAGCTTTATCTACTACTATCTAGGTATCACATACTGTAACTCTAAATGGCAACTCACTCTGTGACTACTGATTATAACTGAAGCATAGCAGACAAAAATTCTGTTACTGAAAACTTTTATCTTGCATCCTCCTGAATTAAATGGGTGTCTCCTCTCCTCTGGTACACTCCAGTGTTGGCTGTCCTTTTACTAACTCCCTGTACTGTGTAATTCTGAGGAACAAAGCATCCAATCAATGTGACTATATAACTAATTAAATCCAATATTCTTAAGAAACAAATGCCATCTTCTACTTCACCTCAAAATTGTTTATCCACTGGCAATTTTAAGTATAAAATTTTATATCTAAATGAAATACTTATTCCTAAGTATTATTACCTCAATTTTAATTACTTTATATGCAAGAAGTTCATCAGTGATCAAATAAATCTCAATAGCTTTACACTAGAATAAATCTAAAAAAGTATTTGTATTATTCATTAAAATTTCTTTATATATTTCAAACAATAGGAACTCAATTTTGCATTAACTAACCAGTAGCCAGCTCCAGTATCAATTGTGAAGGGCAGAAATACAAATATTTTTTCCAATTAATCCACTGGGTTAATAATAAACTAATAAGCATGTGTAATTCCAGTAGAGCATAAGCTTATATAGGGCTATGTTAATCTTTCAATGTCCCATATTTCTTTCTTTTTTTGGTTTTTTGGAGACAGGGTTTCCCTGTAGCATTGGAGCCTGTCCTGGAACTTGATGTGTAGCAGAGGCTGGCCTTGAACTCACGGAGATCCACCTGCTTCTGCTTCCCGAGTGCTGGGATTAAAGGTGTGCACCATCACTGCCCAGCTATGTCCCCTATTTCATGTACCTCTCCTTAATACATTTAGCTTACAAAAGCCTATGGCCTCTCCTACCCAAAAACTTGAAGGGATTGTAGTTTTATAGTTTTCAGCCATTTCCATCTTGCAATCTTGCATCCAGAGAACTTCATGTTACCATTTTTTTTTTTTTTTTTTTTTTGAGATAGGATTTCTCTGTACAGCCTTGGCCATCCTGGAGATGGCTGTGTAGACGAGGCTGGTCTCAAACTCAGAGAGATCTGCCTGTCTCTGCCTCTGCTGGAATTAAAGGCATGTGCCATCACTGCTTGGCTCATGTTTCTTAAATTTTGTAACAGAGCCCAGAACTCGGAAAAAAAAAAAAATCCTTTCATATGAAGTTTTAAATTTCAAATAAAAATGGGAACAGATCCCTCTCCCTAAATCATCCAATGTTCAACATCTCAAGTTTGAACTAACAATTTATTAAAACTTGTTTTTCTTTTCACTGTGCAGAGTATGCACGCATGTGTACATGTATATTTACATGTGTATATATATATATATATATATATATATATATATATATATTTGCGTGTGTGCAGACATGAACTGTTTATTAAAGAGCTGAAATTGAACCTGGTATCTTCCCCAGTTGCACGTCACCTTATATAATGAGGCAGGAGTTTCACTGAACCTAGAGCTTGCCAATTCCTGCTAGTATATTCCTGCTAGCTTGACTATGGGATCTTTGTTTAAAAGTATTTCTTCTCAGAATGCAGTTGTTTTGGTCTAGGGATTTCTGTGAAGCCAGAAATGAAGGACATGCTAGAAAGAGGGGAATTCCTAAGCCATATCAGGAGGATCTCAAGAATGCGGTGGTGAAGGTGCTGCCTGCATAATGTAACCAACCCACAAGCCACTGGGTTCATCTGTCGTGGGGGCTAAAGAACATTTCCTCCTTGCACAGAAAACCCCCAAACAGTGCTCATTTATCTCTCTTTGATGTTTTCTTACCATTTTATTTCATAATTTTGAGGCTTTATTATTGAGAGGAGAAGCACTTATTAGAGAAACCTCTGTAGAATAAAATGTGGTTCTTATTCAACCGAGGTGTTAACATTGTCTCAGGATTTACAAGTGTACTGTGGGATCCAGAGGAAAATATTAGGTTGCCACTAAGCTGTCCATGTGCACCTTAAAATCAGCCCCACGTGTCTAATGAATGGAGGCATCCGCTGTGTGGTTGCCCACCCGGACTGCTCTCCTTAGCTGGTGAAATGACCCTCTGTCTTCACTTTAGCACAGCTCCCTCTCAGCACACCTTTGAAGATAACTTGCAATTGTGTTCCTAACTGACACATGTCACTCCTTATTTCAGCCTGATGCTCTGGCTTTTCTAAGGTTTCAGAAAGTTTTTACAAAAAAGGAAAGAATATTTATGATGTACCCAAAGGGGGAAAAGTATGTAATAAATTCACATGTAAATTGCCCCCAAGTAGTTGCAAGTTCCCCAGAAAAAAGGAAGAACTTCAAGAAATAGCCTGATTACTGAATTCTTCTTTGCAACTATATTACATGACACATTTATAGGAAATTGAGGCACCATATACATACGAATGCAAATATACATCAATTCAATTATGTAGAATTTCTGTTTTTGTTATTATAATAGCAATAGCCATTTATTTTCTGTTTTTTTAATTAATAATTTTAATTGATAATATTTTTTTCTTAGCTGGGTGGTGTAAGCAAAAAGTATCTCAAATTAGGGCTGGGCGTTGGTGGCGCACGCTTTTAATCCCAGCACTCGGGAGGCGAGGCAGGTGAATCTCTGTGAGTTCGAGACCAGCCTGGTCTACAAGAGCTAGTAACAGGACAAGCCTCCAAAGCCACAGAGAAACCCTGTCTCAAAACACACACATACATCCCACCAGCTTTTTAGTTGTGTGTGAGGTATGCATGTACGTGTATATGTGTGTTTGTATGTGTGTATAGACATGTGCTGTACTTTAGAGGGCCAAAGTTGACAATGGTGTCTTCCTCAGTAGTACTTCATTTACTGAGCCAGGTCTTTCACCACACCTGGGGCTGGCCAATTCCAGGTAGTCTATCTAGTCAGCCTGATGGTGAGAGCATTGCCTCTGCTTCCTGCATGCTGGAATTTTAGGCAGTGGCCACACCTGCTGGGCTTCTGTGTAGTCTGGTCATCCCACCTGCAATCTCTGTGCTTGCGCAACCAGTGCAGTAATCTACTGAGCCATCTCCTCAGTTCTTTTCTGTTTTTTTCATAATTGCAAAACATTTCCACCTGGGACAGGGAGAAACCACGAGGGACCATGATCATATTTCACAATCCATACATGAAACAGAAAAGACCTGTCTCTTGGGATCTCAAAATTTGTATTGCTTTTAAAAGCATCTTGGAATATTATAACATTACCCAGGTCTATAAAACAAGTACAAATTATTTTTCGGTTGTTTAATGCATAAGAATAAATGCCTCTCCTTAAATTATCCATTGTAGGAGATAAAGCAGCTCTCAGTCCCCACAGCCCAAATGTCAATATAAGGGTTCACATGATTCAGCTGCACCCTACTGCTTCATAATTGTCATTAGCACCTCAAAGTGCTGAACAATTAAAACAAACAAACAAACAAACAAACAAATAATGTAGTCATCCAAATAGCAAGGGAAAAGCCACAGGAAGTCACCCTATGAAATAATTTTCAGGTACTTTTGGCCATGTTTTAGTTAGTCACAAACTAAATAATTTTCAGGTACTTTTTAGTTATTTTTAGGTAGGCTTTTCCAATTTGCAAAACTTTTAACATAAACCCATTTCATCTGTTAAGTAGTGGGTATGGTGATCAGTCAAACTGAGACAGTTAAATAAGCACACATATTTCCACAAATGGGTGCTTCAAGGTATTGGTGAGTATCTGGGGACAGGGCGCCCCTGACTTTAAACTTGTACAAGAAGTACATTGTTTACAAATGCAATGTCCCTTGCAATGGGACGTTTCCCTGTCAAAATCCAGGTTTCTATTTCATGCTCAGGAAAAGGAAACAAGCTTAAACTCTGAATGAAACATGGTAAACTTTGAATGAAAATAGATTGCCCAGTGCTGGTAGAGCATGCCTTTAACCCCAGCACTCAGGAAGCAGAGGCAGGCAGAACTCTGTGAGTTCAAGGCCATCCTGGTCTACAGAGCGAGTTCCAGGATAGCCAGAGCTGCTACACTGAGAAACCCTGTGTTCTCCAAAACTAAGAAGTAAATTTCAAGAAGCAGAAATACATCTTGAAACATAGTTATGCTTACTAGGTTCCTGTATGATTTCAAAATGCCCTTCTGGGGAACCCAATGCTCTCTCATTAATTTAAGATTTTTTTTTTTTTGGTTTTTCGAGACAGGGTTTCTCTGTGGCTTTGGAGGCTGTTCTGGAACTAGCTCTTGTAGACCAGGCTGGTCTTGAACTCACAGAGATCCACCTGCCTTGCCTCCTGAATGCTGGGATTAAAGGTGTGCGCCACCAACACCCAGCCCTAATTTGAGATACTTTTTGCTTATACATAAATGGGGCACCTA